ATAAGCGATGGACGGTGACCGTATATCGGCATATGAGCACGGCCGCGTTCCCACTGGGCTGAGCAGAGAGAAGGCTTGCCCTTCTGCTCGCCGCCGCCGCTGCACGGCCATAGACTCATCTTGAACTCTATCTCGAATGCTGAATGATGTATTCAAGCAGGCTCGGATGGGTCTCCAACTCGTCAACGTAAGCAGGTGCGCATCTATCCTTTCCCAGCACTCTCCGCATCCCTGACCGTCTGTTCTCACTCCCGACAAATAGATCCGGACAGCCCGGAGATCTAAACCCTATGCGCGTATCCCGAATCTGTACTCGCTACGCCGCATCATCAAGCGGTGCCCCCTCGTACAATCTCCGGTCATTGATTGACTCGTTATGAGTGCTGCGGTTTGCAAAGTCCTGTCCACTACACTCTTCACAAATGTTCCGTTGAATGTATTCAACGGCGCGGGTTATGAGCCCCCCGAAGGAGGTTTGCAAGGCCCTGGCTTGAGATTCCACGCCCTATTGGGAAATAGGCTTGCCGCGCTGAGACGTTGATAAACCCTCACATCTACCCTGACTCCATGGGAGTTGGAACTTCTTCCCCCATACTCTTTGTGCCTTTCCATTCTGTTCCCCCATACTCCTTGCCACTCGAGCCAGCGAGGGATCTCTCTCTCGTTTCCTTTCCTGATGCGGCTCCATGGATAAAGGGCTCTCCACCTTCTTTCCAGCCCTTCCAGCGTTTTTTATCATCACTTTGTTTTTACTACTTTTTCCTACGATACGCTTTCTCAGGAATCGGAATTCAGCGGTCCTGATTTACATCTTTTGGTTGTTCTTTGGAAATGTCTTTTTCTTAATCAACATACTGGTATGGAGGCGGAATGTAAGGAATGCGGCCCCTATTTATTGCGATATTGGTGAGCGAGGTCCCAAACCCTAGTCAAAACGAATACCGCTGACCTACATGTGTCTACCCAGCTTCGAGTTTCTTGGCTATGCTACCAGTTGGGATAGCCTGTTCATTGTTCTGTATCACCAGGTTGGTCTGGAAGATCTCGGGAGCTGGTCTGCAGAGTATCAAACCCGTAAGATATATGCCTAGCTCGCTTCTGCCTTGATCCTGATATCTCACTAGAGCGTGAAAAGTACAATAATCGACATTCTTATCGGTATCGGTATTCCTCTAGCATTCACACTCCTCCGTACGTCTACGGTTTGCCTTTGATACCTGACTAATATCGTTTCTAGGTTTATTGGTCCAGGATAAGCGATTCACGATTGTAGAGGACGCCGGTTGTTACCCTTCAATCCTGCGAGAGCTTCCTGCTTTGATCATTTACTTTCTCCCTCCTTCGCTTATTAGCTGTTGTGTTACCTCCATCTTTTGTGGTAAGGGCATGTCCGATGCGCTACAATATGCCTAACGCTGTCCACAGTACTCTCCTTTATCAACTTTTACAAGATGCGTCACAGGCTCAACAGTCTACTCATGAGCAACGAGAGCATACCGTCCTTTAATCGCCACTTACGACTGGCCTTGCTTTGCACGACATCTGTAGCCATATGCTCCAGTTTTCTACTCGCTATACTCATCTTAAACATTCGCATCGGATTCAATTCGTCGACATCGTGGACGGCGTGGGATTTCGCCCACATCGACATCGTCACCGCGAAAACCCTGGACGAATCTCCATCCCGAAAAGTGATCCTTGCACTGGAGATGATTCTCCCTCCAGTACTCGGTCTTCACTTTTTCGTATTTTTTGGGTTTATCGAAGAGGCGATGAGGCGCATACGCGGCCACCGCTTCTCGACCAATTCGGTGCTCCCAGAAGCCTGGCGGAGGAATCACCGACCCGCCGAGTCTTCTCATCGCCACGAGGCAGGTATAATAGAAATAACACCACCATCGCTTACAGACCACCAATTCGCTGTCATGCCGGCCCCGCTCGCACCCACGTACTCGGTCACGAACCACACTACTGCTACCGCTACACCGAGCTACTCCCCACCACACTCACGACCTTCTTCTGTTCTTACACATCATGGCAGC